TTCAAAGGGTTAATGGCAGAGAGGAAATTCCCAGTCATTAGGATGAGGAACTACAACAAAGCATCGCTGTCAGGCTGACATGACAAGGAGCTGAGATGATTAGTTTAGAAGCTTACTGGCAGAAAATGAAACAATTCTAATAATCTAATAATTGTTTATTGTATTAAACAGAATGATTTGGGGCTTTAGAGTTCTGGGTCAACAAAACAAGCAAATTGAAGACATCAGATCGCATTCTAGGAAATAGTTTCTGATACAGAGTGCTGCAGGAATGAGTCCTAAAAACCAGGAAATGAATAAGCTCTGGTTTTCCGGTTCTCCCGTCTCGAAGTGAATGGGTTTTTGAATGGGGTTTTGGTTATAGATAAGGTCTGTGGTTAATATGTGCTTAAGAAATTTTTATGTTTTGTTCTAGGACATAAAATATGTCTGTAAATACCACACTTGTGAATTTTAAAGCTTTTACGTGTCTTAAAAAAAGAGGTTAACAAATGCCTAAATGACACTAGAGCAGGGGTGGGCAATACAAGTAACGCACATAAGTAAAAAAAAATTTAATGAACGAGTACTTTTTAAAACTACTGTCGAGCCATTAATCCACTTTTTACGTCTTCTACATTCGTTTAAACTGGTCCGCTGTAAATGTGGGGATTGCGTGTTGGGGTTGAGGGCGTGCAAGAAGCTCTTCTACCACAGATGCCATTTTGCCAGCTGCCTGAAAGAAAAAAATAAAAGCACCACCTGTTTTTTGACCATGATGTGATGATGACAGAGTAAAACCCAGAACAAAAGGCAGCCTCCAACGAAAGTCCCAGACCACATCTGACCAAACTTTTTGTACCAAAATCTAAAAAAGACAACAGTCACATGAGAAAGTGCCTTCTGTTTCTCCCGAATAATACTGATAAACTCCACTTCTGACCTTTTCAAACACAAGTTGCAGATACTGTAGGTGAAAATGTAGTTAGCAAGCTAACGTTGGCTGAGTTCATTTTTCATGTGTACTGTTAATCTTTAATGTTGTGATAAGGAAGAGAGTGGGAGTGGCAGATTGTTCATATCTCAGTCCTATAGGTTAGCCTTACTTATTTGATTAGCCTACCTGCTCTACTTCATTAAAAAAATATGTTGCACTGCTAGGAGGCTAGATATGGTACTTGATACCTTAAGGTATCAACCGAAATAACCCAGTATCAAGAGTTATTGTAACGTCTCCAGTCAAACGATACCTACATTCTGTTCTTTATGCGCCGGGGGTCTGATCCCAGTCCAGATCACCAAACTTTCTGTTGCTGCTGTCACCAGAGCCACTCTCCTACCTGCGAGTCTGCGGCATTAGCCTGAGCTAACATTGCAGCAGCGCTAACATCCAACACTGAGCCATGAAACGGTCCCAACAAACTCAAAACGGCTCAGGTCTGACGTTAAACCCATCACTACCTGTACCTTTCAGGTAAGGTTAGCAGTGTGATGTTAACAATTAGCCCTGTCACTGTGTATTTGGCCAGACCGACTATCTCCAAGTGTCCCCGGCAAAGAGCTCACACTCCTGCAGCAGCAGCTCCAACTCATACAGTCTGTGGTGTGGTGAAGTTGAGTGCAGTGAATTTGACGGAGTTCATTGTGCCTGAATACTACCAAAACGTTTCAAAGTTTAGCTATACTATACACCACCCCATTCACATTCTGGGCATTGAATTAAGTATTCTATTGGTATCTTTTATCACTTTAAAGGCCCGACACAACAAGGCGACGGTCAGTGGTTGGTCAACGTTGGGTCCTCTAGGAGCGTCTATCGTCCTAGTTTTTGCGCTCTGTTGGCACTTGTTGGCTTTTTTTCTGGCCGATTTAGCACATAGAAACGGCGTCTGAAGACGGCGGAGCCAGTCGGTAAATGAAATCACTCTGATTGGCAGTTCAACTCAGTGCACAGGAAGAGAAACGGGCGAGAGGAAAGCAAACAAATGACGCAAGAAGGCATGATAGCAAAATAAACTCCTTGTATTGGGTCAGATTTTTTTTTAGCCATTGAGCTCTCATGGCTAACTCATGGTTAGCACAAAGGGTTCGTAATTGTTTGTTATTGTTTGCTAGCGCACAGTAAATATCATTTGTTCTTTAATCATCATGTGCTGTTAATGTCCTAACTGGCTAACTAGCATTGTCAGTGCATCCTGTCATTCATCAGTCGTTCTATTTTTAATGAGGAACACAGACTACTGCCCCCTGCTGGTTTGGAGAGTTATTTCCTCCCATGCAGGCACAGAACGTTCTGATTGGCCAGTCTTTGTGGTGTGTTCAAGTGCAACTTTTTGTTGCTGTTTTTTCTCTGATGTCTGTTTAGTGTGTCTGGGCCTTAAGGGTACTGGTATGATAATTTTTTAAATGATATCCAGTCCTACTCCAGAGTGTGAGTCTGTTAATAGTAAAGCATGTTTTTGTCTGTACTGGGTGAAGCAACAAGGGTGTAGCCCAGAGAGTCCATCCAGGGTCTGTATTTCACAGAGTGAGATTCCTCTGGGTTCCAGGCCTATTGAAAACTCCTGTCAGGGAGGGAAACTATAGGAGGGCCTTGTCTAAATTGAACCCACATTTGGCGCAGGGTGAGGCTGAGGTTGAGGCAGTTTTTTTCCTAACATTTGGTTATGCAACCACTCGTGGGGGGTCACATAATGTGGTCTATGAGGGACACAAAGAGACACTAATGACTGAGTGCTGGCTGCTGAAATCTGCATTCTTGTTAGTAATTTATTCCCTTTAGTGATGTCTGTTGGTTATGGCTGAGTGACACCATGTGTATCTTTTTCAACATGTTCAATGTGTGATCTACTTGCCTGTAGCTCATGTTAGACATTGTCGTATCTGACAGGGATCAAAGGCAGCAGTGTAGGACAGGGATGTGAGTGACAGTGTTTCATAGCAGCGGAGGTATGGGGAACATTCCTTCCCCGGTACAGACTGCTGATAACAATCTACAGAGTGCTTCCTCTGGCCTCACACACATAAATTGGATGGTGTGAAGGAACAGAACATTGTGTCCTCAGGGTGAGTCTACAGTCAACCTGGTGTCTACCTCACGGTGGCATTGGTCCTACACGACTTATTCCATCACACTTTATGCAGATGTAAACCTACATTTAGGATTCCCGACTGATACTGGATTCTTTAATGCCAGCAAATTAAAAGGCCGATTAATATTTCAGTAAAACAAATTGTTTTGTTTCATTAAACATTTTTGATTTATATTAGATATACTCGTATATCTTGGTCAAAACTCTAATTAACTGAGTGACATATTTTAGTTTTAAAAATGAGCTTGTCAGTGCCCCCTGGTGGAAAAATATTCGATGGTGACGGTTTCAAAATTAACTTTAACATATTTTTTCTCTCCGAACTGCAGTTTCTCATTTGTTTGAGTTTTATATCAATGATATGGTGGCCGACAAAGACAAACGAGCTACAACTGCACAAAACTTTGTTTCAGGGGTATTTTAGACTTTGCACCAATACCATTATTGGATTTCTACACATTTGTTTAATGTATATATTGTTGACAGTTTTATTTAATGTATATATCGTTTACAAATTTGTTTAATGTATATATCGTTTACAAGTGTGTTTATTTACACATTTGTTTAATGATGTATCGTTTACAAATTAGTTTAATGTATATATATCGTTTAGGCGTTTGTTTGATGTATATATTGTTCACAAATTCGTTTAATGTATATACCGTTTACAAATTCGTTTAATGTATATATCATTAGTGTGTTAATCTATGGCTGTATTGTATATTTGTAGTGTATTATAGTATAATCTCTATATTGCATATTCTATAGATATGCTATAGATATATATCTTATAATTATAGAGTGTGCTAAGGTGTATTTTTCTAGTGATGTACATACATTTTTTTTCCTAGTGTGAAATGTACTTTTTTTTTACTACTCCTTTGCAATGCCTAAAAAAAACTGCTGCTGATTAGCGATCAATTAAGTCTATCTATCTATCTGCCCATTTCTGAATGGGCTAATTTAACAAAGCTATCACTTGGCACGTGTCGCCCTCCATACATCCCCCTGAAGTTACAGTGTAGTTACTCCTGTTCCCAGTCACTGTGGGGCGGGCGGAGCAGAGGTGTCAGACGTGTCTCTCCGCCTCCTGTCAGCCCTTCTGACTTCTCCACCAGTCGGTTCATGTTTCATTATTCTAAATGTGGTCACAGTTGCCCCACTAAACCGCCTCCGGTCCGCTCCGGTGGCCCTTTTCTTTCCCCCGCCGCCACCGATGTAGCTTAAGCCGCAGCAGTCAGCGCCATGCCGTGCACGTTTTCTTACAAACCACCGTGCTGCCCCGGAGACCCGGCCCGACCCGCCACCTGTGGCCCGCTGCTCTCATACCGGACCCGCTGCAGGTAACGAGACGCACCGGACGCTGCTCCGCGGATGTAACTACAGCTGCTGTTTAAAGTGCGCCGGAAATACAACTTAATTTAATTTGTGCTGAATTTAAAGGGGTCTTCCCACGAGCGTATGGCTCCATTAGAGCTGTGCATTCAGAGGGAGTTGGGAGTGTGTGTGTGTGTGTGCTTGTGTTAATTAATATTATTAATATCAAATGCTTCCTGTGGAGACATCGCCACACCTAGACTAAATATGGCAGTGATGCATTATTTGCACTAACTTGTGTTGCCTGCAGCCAAGCTTCTCTCATTTCTCCTGCAAAGTCTGCGACCTGACCTACATAGGGTAGAGTTATAATGTACAGACCATGGTGACAGGTCATTTTATATAATCTGTCCCAGATTCATGTGGTGATCTGACGGCGGCTGCCTGGATTCATTGAGCACCAGTGTGTCTGTGTTAAGATTCCTTTTGTAATTTATTTGTATAGAAATGTGCTGAGAGTAGAGAAATGACTCTGTCCCCTCAGGAGGTTTGAATCCTGGAACCTTGGAGATTAATCCTAACATGACTTTATCTGTCTTTTCTTCTTCACAGGGCCTCGGGAACCAATGTTGCTGCCATTGATAATAAAATAGAACAGGCAATGGTGAGTAATCCATTTAACACGGATCATGAACTTCTCTGGGTAAAATTTTTTCTCACTTTTTGGCTTAAAGGTCCAGTGTGTAGGATTCAGGGGGATGTATTGGCATAAATGGAATATAATATAATAGGTATGTACATCACTAGTAATGGCTTAGGTAGTCTTGAGTCTTCCTACCTAGGCTATCTATGGATGCTGCAAAGTTTAAGCACCAAATAATCAAAAATAGCCACCTTGTGCTGAAACATATCAGTGAATGCTTATTTAGATTAGTAATGTTGATAGGCTAAATTTAACTTTAAAGGCTGTGTTACCTTTAGGGTGAGGCTCAAATATGTTTTGTGGCTCCAGACAGATTTTCTTTTTGTTTTTTGGCCCAAAATGTCGTTTTTGATAGCAAAGCCTGCCTTCGAATGAGACGTTTATATCTACATAGGGAGCAGGTCCTTGTTTCTGGAGATCACCATGTTGCACCGCCATGTTTCTACAGTAGCCCAGAACGGACAAACCAAACACTGGCTCTAGATAGGGCTATTTGCGTTTTCGTGGCCACCACTAGAGTTAGCAGCCCCTTCGCGACGAGCATTGTCGGAGAAACACATTTTCTTAACGTGAAGCTGTTAATTCACTGTTTTTACCTGTTAAAATCAGTGGGTCTGTTTGTTTTGGAGAGGAAGAGACCTCTGTGGATAATTTGGCTCCTGGTAAAAACCTACTGGACCTCTGGATCTAAAGTTATCAGAGAAAAAAAGTGAGCACACATTAGCAGGTGCTGGGCTAGCGGCCTGTCTCTGAAAAGCCAGATAGCATAGGAAAAACACTGATTTGTAACATAAAACTGCTTTATTTAGTGTTTTTTACTAGTTTAAATCACCATTCGTTTTAAATACCTCTTTGGATAATTCGGCTCCTGGTAAAAACTTCAATTTCTGGATCTTAAGTTATCAGAGGAAAGGGGGAGCACACATTAGCAGGCACCAGGTTAGTGGCCCATCTCCGACAAGTCAAATAGCATAGGAAAAACACTGATTTGTAATGTAAAACAGCTTTATCCAGTGTTTTTACCTATTTAAATCACCAAGTCCGTTTGTTTTAATGAGAAAGAGACCTCTGCGGATAATTCGGCTCCCAGTAGAAACCTTCTGAACGTCTGGATCTTAAGTTATCACAGAAAAAAGGAGACCGCAGCTTAACAAGTGCTAGGTTAGCGGCTGTCTCAGACCTGCCAAACTGCATGTAAGAAACACTGATTTGCAAGGTGAGACTGCTTTATTCCATGCCTTTTACCAATTTAAATAACCTGGTATGTTTGTTTTGGAGAGAAAGAGACCTCTGCTGATGATTTGGCTCCTGGTAAAAACCTGAACAATGAACACTGAAAGAATTCTAACTGGGAGAAGTTTCAGCTGGTTTCAATCTGAAATCTTCACCGCTATATGCCACTAAATCCCCCTAAATCTTACACACTGGGCCTTTTAAAGTGTACACAGTAGATATTCAGTAACATGAAAAGACGCTGACATCAGGGTCCAAAATATATACACAAATAAACTGTACTATTATGATGCTGAACTCAAGTCATTGTGGTTGACCTTTAGGCTGCTTTCACACCTGCCATGTTTGGTTCGGTTCAGTCGAACTCAAGTTCATTTGCCCCCCTAAGTGCGGTTCATTTGGGCAGGTGTGAACACAGCAATCGCACTCAGATGTGCACCAAAACAACCGGACCGAGACCTTCTTGAAGAAGTGGTCTGCTTGTAAATGCTGCCGTGAGAACACGAACCAACTCTAGGCAATTATGCAACGAAATTAGTCCCTGATTCAGACCGAAGCAAGACAACTCTAGGTCTGAAAGCACTTAATCCAGCTCTAAAGCCTGTCTTGACTTATTTTCATGGTTGTAAGAACCGTAGGGTCTTTATATTTGTTTGTCTTTGCCTTTAAGCATAAACACGCACAGCTAGAATGGACACATGAACAAATTTAGCCTCGGGCTTCACTGTGATGTCCTTGTGTCCTACGTGTGACAACATCAGCCTCTGTGTGACTCTGCTGCCTCCGGTCAGGTCCTTTTATGTTTTTGACCCAGTGGCACATTTCATGTCTCCTGCAGGACCTGGTGAAAAGCCATCTGATGTATGCGGTGCGCGAAGAGGTGGAGGTCTTAAAGGAGCAGATCAAGGAGCTGTTTGAGAGGAACTCTGTGTTGGAGAGGGAGAACGCCGTGCTGAAATCCCTGGCCAACAGCGAGCAGCTGTCTCAGCTGCCCGCCCACTCGGCCACCAGCTCTGGCGCCACGCCCCCGCAGCAAGGACTCAGCCAGCCTCAGCAACAGGCCCAGCCTCCGCTTCAAGCTCAGCCTCAGCCGCAGTCACACCCCCAGCTTCAGCACCACCCCAAACCCCAGCAGATCCAGACGCAGCCTCAGCTCGACCCCGGCCAGCAACAAATGCAACCCAACGTCACCTCCGCTTGAAGTGCATCTGCTCTGCTTAGGGCAAGAAAAAAAAAAAAAAAAAAAGAAGAGCATCTTCTCTACAACTTATTACGATTAGTGTATGTGAAATTAAAAAGAAGAAAAAAAAACTTTGTCTTCTTAGCCACCAGCTTGACCACAAAGTACAGTGCTTGTGTGTGTGTGTGTGTGCGTGTCAGGGTGCGTTAGCAAGCAAGTGCGACTGTGAATCGGTGTCGGAATGTAAGTGTGTATGCATCTGTACTGTGGGCCTTTCCAGTGTTAATGCAATCATCAGAGAGAAAGACAGAGAGACTTAGACGGAGAAAGTGTGCAGAGCCAGAGTATCAGGGAAGGTCGGGGTGTTTGTTTTCATCTTGGCTACGTTCCCAGAGTGGTTGACTGCTGCGTCCAAGCTCGTGAACAGGATGTCTTTTCTTGGACTAGGCTCGAGCCAGACCGGCCCACGACCTGACCTGAAACCTGCTCGACCCGTGGGTGTGGAAAGGGAGGGCTTTGCCTCACATAAGGGACAAACGGGAGGGATTGTCAAAAAGAGAGCGATTATTTTTTTAAATGAGATAACTGAGTGGGTAACGGGGTATTTTTAGCCTTGCTGTTTCATGTTGTAAAGTAAGAAGTGGGAGAGAGAAAGAGAGAGTCTTTTTTTTTTTTGTTTTGTTTTTTCGGAGCGCCACACCGCTGCCGTTACTTTTACATCAACTCTTGCATCAGTCTTTTGAGTTCTACTGTTAAGTGTTTTATTTATTACAGGGCTGCTATTTTCATAAATGAACAATTTCACGAAACCCATCTAACAATAGCCCGGTGACTTGTTTCCTTTTTCTTCTACAGTGTTTCAACAGATTGGCCATAGAAAGGCAAAGTCCCTCCCTTTCCGGTGTCTCCCATGGGACCATATTCCAGAAAAAAAATATGTATGGTAGTCAACAAGAGACAAATATTTTTGCTCCTATTTAAATTGTGCCATGAATGACAAATAATGTTTGTCAATTTAGAAGATAATTTTGCAAATCAATAAAGGCGCAGTTTGTTGTACCATGGCTGCACAATTAATCAGAATATATTGAAATTGCAGGAGTTGCAATTTTTAAATAAATGTAAAATGAATTAAAATAAATAAATAAAAACATACTACTATAAATAAATTGTTAATGTTGTGCTGCAGAGATGCCCTGGCATACAACTCATATTCCAGATGTAAGGGAACTTGCTTGTTTGGTACAGACCCCAACAAAAATCACATTTTCATTTATTTTGTTAAAAATCATGACTCATATTGCCATTTTCAAATTAATTGTAATATGATTTGTTTTCCATATCCTACAGCCCTACATAGTACCATATAGTTTTGTGTGAAACCGCTCAGTGAACTGTCTCATCTCGAACAATGTACGCTACTGACACCAGCTAGCTAGCTAGCTAGCTAGTTAAGTAACTTAGCCATGTTCCTTGCACTTTTCTAACGTTGTCTTACCTAGAGATGTTCCGATGCCATTTTTTGTTTCCCGATTCCGATGCCTGAACTTGCCAATGTATCAGCCGATTCAGAGGACCGATCTGAAAATGCTACTTCGGGCTAGTAAATTCAGCATCTCACTCGCCCAGCCAGGCAAGTGGTGAATAAGACTTAAACTGTTTTTTTCCCCGGAGCTGATGATGGAAGTAGCTAAGGAGTGAGCCATCTTGTTTAGGTAACTTGTGTAACTTTTTTGGCACACACCATATTGGTTTTTGTCCATACATAATTTTTTATTACGAATCCTACGCATTGTTTTAAAAATAAGACCCCTGTTGCTATGTTCCTTCCACAATTGTAACGTTGTACCTAGTTATGTTCGATACCATTTTTTTCCTTCACAATTCTGATACCTGAACTTGCCGATTTATCAGCCGATACCAAGTACCGATCTGAAAGTGCTACTCCCTGCCCAGCCAGGCAAGTGGTGAATAAGACTTAAAGAAATGGTGTTTTTTTTTCTGGAGCTGATGATGGAAATAGCTATGGACTGACCCATCTCGCTTCCATCTCATCTCTGCCAAGAGTTGCACAAGAGCTTGCGAGAAAATAGAGGCAAGTAAAGACGAATCTCATGAGCTGAAGCGCAAGCGAGCGTTTAAATTATCCTGGAAACAGGAGTGTAGTTGGGTGGTGGTAGAGGATGTGGGCGAAACTCCAATGAAGTATTGTGCAGTTTGTCGAAAGTTTGAGAGCAAGGCAGATAAAATGGACGTTTTTCAAAGGGTGCGTCAGTTTTCCGAAAAAGATCCTAAAAATTCACTTTAGTCTTTATTATTTTTTATTGGGGCAAGTAAAATTTGACGTTGGGCAAGTACATTTCTGACCTGGCAACAAAAAAAAATGTTGAATGATGCTGTTTATTGGAAGTCAATTCTTCCCTGTCGCTTTAAAAAAGTAGTTTCCAGTGGCTGCAGAGTGCAACTTGCTTTGTAGGCTAGTGTTTCAGAGCGGCGCAAAATCTGCCCTTTTCCACTTATAAAACTAGTTTAAAGTTTATCAATACATTGTGGTATTGGATCAGTGCATAGACTTGCATTCTCGCCAATACCCGATCCAGCATTTTATGCGGTATTGGAGGCGATTCTAATACTGGTATTGGTATCTGAATTTCTCTGACTTTACCTGATGAGTTTTATTCAGCAACTCCTAATCTATTTATCAGCCAGAAAGCTAAAGAACAAACAGGACGTGGGGTCTCATTTATGAACACTGCGTACACACAAAATGAGGCCTTGATGGGGAAACTTTGACCCACACTTAAGAACATTTTGGAGACAGGAAATTGGCGATGCAGATGGTGAGGTGGAAGCTGGACTGTAGAAACTGTCGAATATTTTTTGGAGCACGGCATTTTTGACTTTAGTTCGTACGTACATTTTTACTATGGGACCTACACACTGTTTTGTAAATTAAAGTTGTCCTGTGAGTATATCCCAGTACAAAACACATGGGCATCGTAGCTTCAGTGAGAGAGAAAGCTACGACATCACCCACCCGACTTTGTAATCACAAATATTTTCCAGGGTTACACTTTTAACAGCTTTACGACAAAGTGACTCACTTGTCTTACAAAATTTTCTTTTAAATTGACGAACGTCATGGCACAATCCAAACAGGATTTTTTTTTAACCAAAAAAAAAAAAGTTATGTCTCATGTCAATAACTACTGTACATAATTTTGTCTGAAATAAGACCCCATGGCGGTCCACCGGAAGGGGAGGGACCTCGCCTCTGTGTACTTCCCAGGGGCAATGCTTAATGTTTGATTGTTAAAAATGTAGGCAAAAAAGACAAATGTTTAACACTAACTCAAATTCTGTGCTGCAGTTGCCAATTCATAGCTCAAGACAAGATCCAGTATGAATGTATAGTATAAAGTATTAAGAGCCTTGATGGGTGACTCTTCACCCGCTGACATCAAATCTTAACGTGAGCCTGCAGGAGGTATTTGATGAAGAGTCAATTCTGTCAGTAGTTTTTAACTAAACAAAGTGAATTAGTATTGCCATCACCCCCCTCCTTCATGTTAGTTTCTCCCGATGTTTTTCCTGAGGGGTCCAGGGGGGGAAAAGCTGTGAAATCATTCAACCTACTTTGTAACCAAAGATGCAAAGCTGTGTAAATTGATTATTTTTTAAATGCACACTCATGTATTTTTCTTTTTTTTTTCTTTTTTTTTTGTTACTTCCTTCTTCACAAAATATTTTGTTGCTGTTCGGCATGTTCTGCATGATCTGTAATCTTCAAACCACTTTCTTACCTCATTTTTATTCAGCACTCTTATTGTAAGATAGTCTGTGAACAGTGTAAATGGGGGCAGGGGGAGGGAGGGGGTGAAATGATGCGGAGCAGAGAGGAAAAATAACCTAGTGTTACTGACACTAGTCACAGAAAAATGAAGTGAGCCATGTTTTGTTCATTTAAATGGTGTTTGAATTTCATATGCCAATAGTTTTGTTACATTGCAAATTTTAATGTATTTAAATAAAAGCAATATTCAGATTCCAAAATATGTCCGTTTTCTTTTCTTACAAAGTTGCATAAACTGGTTTATTAAAACAATGCAGTGTAAAACAGTCTAGTGTTGAGAACATTTGTAACCTTTTACAATTGACTGGAACACTACGTGAAATATGTGCCAACATCTGGAAGCTCAAATTGCTCATGATAAAGCGCTGGATCTTCTTTTTACCCTCTAAAACAGTGGTTTCCAACCCTTATCTTGAAGGGGCCCCCTTCATATCATCCAGTACCCCTGACTAAGTGACATATTTTATGGATATTTCATGTAACAGTACAAAACAGCTGATAAACTGTAGAATTAACTGTTAAACAAGCTATTTGGATTAATTTTTGCAGGTTATTCCCAGACAATTTCATTTAGTTTTCCTCACAGAAATGAATGAAATGCTGATACATAGGCCTATTATGTATATTTTTTTAAAACGTTTTCTTACGCATATAAAATCTAGAAGGCTTCACAACCCCCCTGTGATGCTCTGGCGGCCCCTAGTGGGGGTTGAGACCCTTAAGTTGGGAACCACTGTTCTACAAGAACAAGATCCAGGATACACTTACAGATGCCAAGTGTGTACGTGTGTTTTCTGGGTACTCAAGTACTTCTCATGGCCACATTAAAAAGGACTTAAGCATTTTTCAACCAGCAGCGAAAAAAGCTGCAATATAAACACCAGGCATTTGCACACCATCAATTAATGTCTCCTATAAGTGTTTGTTTTTGGCACTGACAGACTCAGATTGTTTTTATAAGTGTCTGACAACATTACTGAAAGGATCCCTACAGAGAGAGCTGTTTGTTAAAGAGTAGTTGTTGAACCAGAAACAGCTCCCCACCAGACTCCATTTATAAAATCAGTAATTTTATCACTATAAAACACACTTCATCCAGAGTCGATAAATCTAGCCCAATAAATCCCACAAAAACCATCTTGATTTGTCTTTTCACTGTTCCAACAACCACCAGGTCTGGTTTGGTTAAAATAACCCTTAGTTCACAGACTTAGATGTGAAAATGTGCTGGCTCTATACACAGTAAAATTACTAGTTTTTTTAAATGGAGTCTGGTGGGTTTGGCAATAGGGATTTTGGGGCTGTTTCTGGTTTAACAAAAAGGATCTGACTCTTTAAAGCAGGGGTGTCTAACTCATTTCAGTTCTTCGATTTGATCACAGGTTGGCCGAACCAGTAAACATTTTAAAAACGCCTATCATTTACAAAACGGATGACAGACAGCCTGTGAGGTCTTCAGAGGAATAAACGCAATTTCAACAATATTTCTCAGTTTTTCCACATTCAGTTAGTCGACTACTCATTATATTTATTATTACATGTGCATTTTTCTGTACATTTCCACTCCTTTGTAGTAATCCCGACATCACCACACCAAACTACAGTGAAAGAAAAGAACTGTCTCCTGGTCAGGGTGAAAAGCCTCTGAAGCAGCATTAAGCATGACGAAAGCTACTCGCTGTTTAAATTGCTCCTGAAACCTGGCACCTCTCAGCCCTACACAATGTCACCCAGTGGGCTGGATTGGACCCTTTGACGGGCCAGTTCTGGCCTCTGAGCCATATGTTTGACACCCCTGCTTTAAAGAAAAGGCCTCTCTGTAAGGGTCCAAGAGAAATAAGAAAGAAAAAGGACGTACACTGACAGCGTGAATGTGCCCTGAGTGGTTCCACTGCAGCCTGCTGCTTTATAGTCTTAAAAACTATTAAACACAATACCTGAGAATATATGACCGCAAGCAGTGATTCAGGGGTTCAAGCCGGCATGGACCTTTATAAGTTGAAAGCTGGGAATTATCAAAACCTTTTGACAGTTCGCAACACTTGCATTAACAACCCACAGGCTCTCTGACAATCAGAGAGACGCTTACTCATCTACAACCAAATCTCTGCTGAGCCATGCTCTCCTTTGACGACCCTTGTGGTCAATTGCAGAAACATTTGAGGGCATGTTTCAGCAGCTTTATTAAAAATATCCATTGGGTGGTGATGTTTGGACAAACTGTGACTGATTTACAGCCAAATTTGCACAAGGCCAGAGTGCTTGTTTGGAGCTTGTGGCACCTCTATTCAGCTGTTTCACAATAACTTTAAACACGTACTTAACCACTGTTTCGACACATATCCTGGGAGTTTTGCAAAAACAGGACAAACAATGTCAGGATTGATCCCCTAATTTCAGGAGTTCAGGTTGAAAAAAAAAGCTGAGTTACCTACTAGAAAGAAGGTGGCTGGTTTATATCTGACAGCCAGATGGCGCTGTTTGATTACAGGAGAAGACAAAGCATTTCACACAGTGTGCTCCGAACTGATGTGAAGCTGTATACCAAATCTTTAAAGAGAAACTCATTTATTTGAAGAAACATTACAAAACAATTCCAAAAAAACAAAAAAGGTATAGAGACAAACGTGCCACCCGAGCAGATACATAGCGGTCCTCTCTGAAAAGAAATACTTCCGAGCAGCCTTCATGATAGTGTCACCTGTTCCAGTCCAAAGTGGAGGAAAAAAAGCTCCTTCCTTCCCAGTAAAGACATCCACAATACAAACAGCGGAGTACAATGATATCGACAATGAATGGGAACTTATTTTAAACAAACCCTTCCACTGACACCTGCACACTTGAGTTCTCACAGTCGAGCCGTTGTGCCTGTCGCCCCACTGTCACCTCCCTCCTGTTAGTAAAGTCAGTCAGTGGGTCCGCACGTCCCATCCGTCACAAAGGTGGGGTTCACTGTGTGGGTCTGAGCAGGACGAAAGGTCTTCGGAGTGTTATTTACTCGTTGCCTGTTTTCTTGTCGGCTAACCCACAGTGACAAATCGGCTGCCTTTGCTGATGTGTGCCGTGGCGGTGCGTCGATCTTTTAGGATGCGGAATCGCTCATTGAGGGTGATCGATGTTTGCTGTGGAAAGAAAAGGACACCGGAAACATGTTAACTTTTATCAAATCAAGTTTATTTATGTAGCACATTTAAAAACAACCGCAGTTGACCAAAGTGCTGTACAGAATAAAGGAATGACACACAAATATCCACCTTATTCCTAGCCCCCGTGATACCTTGCGTGAATTATGTGCGCTACGTCCAGCGTTGAACCGAAACTGGCGGTTTCCAATGGTAACAGTTTGTTTACAGTACTCTATTATTCTTTCCAAGAGCAATTTGGAAATAAAATATGGAACACACCACCTGTCATAGCTTTATCTATACTTGTGCCATCTCTGACAGCCATCTCAAAGCATTGTTCTCTTTTTTTTTTCAATCAACCGAGCACGCTAGCAATTGGCTTGCCTTGTTTCGTTAAAATATTGTTCACTTTAACATGGCCCGAGCTAGCTTAAGGTAAACATCTGCTCCTTCTAAAGATGATTTATGATGACATAATAAGAGATACTAACACATTCGGCAAAGATTTAACTTAATTCAGTATTAACTGTAGCTCCATGTAAAGTGAATAAATGTGATGTTTCCCAGCGTTAACGACGCAGTTTACACGTTTTTTTAACTTCTGATTTATTATAACTGTTCTGAGTGAAACATGAAGCTGAATGTAGCAGCAGTCATCAGTAATAGTCATATAAAGTGGTCGTAAAAGAAATAACTTTTGGCGTTTGTTTTTTTTCTATGACATAAAGGAAGTACGGTAAATCAGTAACACATTCTCAGCCCTAATGACTAAATACATATTTCAAGGTTTGTTGCTGAGTTTATTTTAAAACAAGCAATTTTCTAATGTAGGTTGAGAATGAAGTCAGACGGGGAAAGACAGGGATATCATGTACTGACGTTGAGTGACGGACCTGTCAGTGTCATTCTCTTTGCTATGTCTCGTGAAACTCTTGTGGCTTTATTTCTCATATCAACGGTACCTTTGGCAAAAGGAACAATCCCTTTTTGTTCTGGTTATATGTTCAACACACAGTTGTCGAAGACAAAATTGAGTTTAGACTGGTTGTTGGTTGTTACAGACAGGGACAGTGCAACAGGTACCAAAGCTCTGTAAAGACATTTTAGAACATGCTAAGTTTAGTTAAATATTTGTTAAGAAATAAATCAGTATTTGCGAAACTGAAGGCAAATTACTTTTGAAAAGAACCAGCGTTGGCTGTTATCCACCAAGAGTAGCTACTGGGACTAACCACAGTCTATGGGACTAACTGACTTACTGCTACTTCTGCTATCTCACTGGAAGTTGCGCCCATAATCATTTCTGCAGTAGTACCCTCAGGAATAAGGTGGATAAAACAGAATTAAAGCGGTAAGAACAGTTACATACGTAAAAAAGATTTTAAAATACTAAAATATGAAAACCACTACAAACAACCAAAGTACATTGAAAACATGTACGTTTTAAGAATTGTCCTAAAAGTGTCAATAAAGGAGGAGGATTTGATTGAGAGTGGATGCTACTCAACTGAAATTATTACTGACTCTGCAGTGGTTCCAAAAAGAGGAGCAGCTTCAGTAGTGTGGAATAAACTGAGGCGTCCGGACTTCTCAGACTCTTGTAGTGAGTTACTGCTCAGAGGAAACTCATTCAGCGGTTCCTCTGGCAGCAGCACAGCGTCTCTCCCTCTCCTCGTTAATGCAAAAGGCATTCGTTAAATTATTTTAAATCTAGAATACCACTTTGCCGTCAACTTGCAGTTACAGTATACATCCATGTCTGTGAAAACATGGACGCTTCACACACACACATCTTTCCCCGGCAGCACAGGAGATCTGTACAATCAGCACAGTTTCAAGGTGGACACTCAAGATTAGTGTCACCAGTTCAGTGTCTGACCAAATGTCTCCCCTTCTGTTCCTGAGATAGGACGTTGAGTAATGGCCAGGAAGTGTTTCTGCAGAACAATATGATGTCACAGTGAAGTTGACCTTTGGAATATGAAATGTCATCACTCCATCATTTTATTCTATAAAACATTTGTGTGAAACTTCATCATGATTAGCGTATTAAGTCCTGAATGTGAGGTCAAAGTGACCTTTGACTTTAACCACCAAATTCTAATCAGTTCATTCTTGAGTTCAAGTGGATGTTTGTGTCAAATTTAAGGAAATCTCCTCAAGGCCTTCTTTAGATAACACAAAATGAGATGGACGCAAGGTCATGATGACCTTGACTTTGGACCCATGACCACTAAAATCTAATCAGCTTATGATTGAGTCCCGGAACTCTGTGCACAAAATTTAAAACAAAAATCCCTAAAGCTGCTCCCGAGATATCACATTCATGAGAATGAGACAGATGAGGTCATAATGACCTTGACCTCTGACCCATGACCCCCAAAGTCTTGAAAGTTCATTGTTGAGTCCATGTGGACAGTTGTGCTAAATTTGAACTTGAGACGTTCTTGAGATAAAGTGTTCATGAGAATGGGAAAGTGGAACTGACAACCCGCACACATAATGCCTCTGGCCACAGCTATCACCGGCACAGAGGCATAAAAATAGATGTTACCAATTATTTTGTAACTTTACAATGCAACTTGGGGAAAAATAAAGATGAATAAAATCCTACGTTCCATATCTTGGCATTTTTAAGACTTTTTAAAGATTCATTTAGGGTATTTTAATACCAATTAAGGCCTCATTCTTAGATTAATGATTTGAATGCCTTTTAAGAGTTTAAGAGTTTGCAAGAATCCTGATTTAAGTATGTAGAATTTAAGCAGCATGCTCTCACCGGTTTTCCAACACTGTTGATGTCAAATTGCAGAGGCACTCCTTTTGGTATTTTCTTCTCCGCTGTTTCCACCTTGACAGGAGCAGAAATGGCAGCTGGAGGATGCAGAGTCCAAGCAGTGGGAGGCCTACGAGGAAGTCAAACAGTCAGTCAGTTTCATCTGCAGGCGTCTCGTGTGTGATGTTTGGTGTGAAGGTCAAAACCATCGTGAATATCTTCAAATGTCTTTATGTATATCGTAAAATACACGACTACAACTGTTACTAGGTATTAATAAAATGATGCATGTGTGGGAACAAACATGATCTGACACCAGTGTGCAAAGATTGTGAGATTTACTCAGGCTGAGTCCTGGCTGTGGGGTTGTCAATTGAAACGGTCAAGATCCCATTGCTGGTTGTCGATGTGCGCCACCTGGTGGACAAACAGAGGAGCTGCACTGTATTACGCAAACACAGACACTGGCTCTAAAAATGGAAAACAATGGTCTTCTTTCCCCTCCAAATGATTCATATCCTCAGTGCGATTTCCTTTTCATCACACACGCACATACGACTGAGGAACACAGACAATTAGACATTTATGACTAGAGCCAAAATAAACTCTGAGAATACTCACTGCCGAGTTCTGACTGGAGGACTGCGAGGACTTGGCTTTTGCACCTGGGCCTGTACCTGTAACACAGAGCAGTGGATACAAAGAATAAACATAATGGTCTATTGATGAGTGATTTAGTCTGAGACAGATTTAATGCTGCGTTCCAGACAACTCAGAACTTGAACATAGATAGAGCCCCTTCAGGAGGTTGAAAGTTGGAAATTTCAACTGGTAAATTCCAGCCTCTGACTTTGACTGGAACACAGCATAAGACTTAAAATGCTGAGAAAAACGCTTTATACTACACATGCTGATAATGTATGATGCATTTAGTTTAATCAAAATATACGGCACATTCAGCAACTCTCAATGACACACACAACCCAACATGTACCTTGAGTCCTCTGTGGAAAAGAAACGTGGCCTGTCGTGCTTCCCTCTGAGTCTGCTGGACAGGCGGCAGTGGTCTGCATGAGAGCAACACAAACACAGGATTGAAATCCAGCTACGTTCAGTGTCGATCTATCAAAGTGTACTGTGTGTGTGTGTGTGTGTGTGTGTGTGTGTGTGTGTGTGATGTGGTACACACTGCACCACACGAAGCAGCAAATTTAGATCACTCTTTATTCCTTTAAACATGTTTGAAGTGGAACTACTCTCCAGATTTTGGAGTCGTATGTGTGTGTGATGACAGTTAAAGACACCAATCCCACAATTCTCCTTGTGTTCAGAGAGAGCTACACACAAGCACACCATACGACTGTACAGAAGAAGAAAATGGTCTCACCGTCGTCGCAGCTGAAACGGTCTCCTGACCGCTGTTGCATTCTGGACTCTTTGTGGATCAGGCTGCCTGTACGGCCGCCTCTGTACCTCTGGTTTCCTGTATGGGGCTTCAGTGCGTTGAATGAAGGGCTTTGTTTTCTGTCTTGCTTTCTGAAAACAGAGGTGCAGTGGATTGTAGAAGGATTCGGTATCACCAAAGGCAAAACTTTTAAAAGCTGCACTACTTCTAAAAATAAGACAACACTGATAGTTCATGCTACTTTTGAACATGAGTGATGCACAATCAGACGCCAATTTTAAGGTAGAGGATGACTTAAGCTCTGACCATGTTTAAGAACCACCATTGAGCCTTGATTTAAATAAATGCACTATGCTGAATCTATGAATTGCTGTCTGAAATCAAGTGGGATGTGGCTTGATACTAAAAACCTCAAAGTAATGAGACAGAAGAGAACAGTAGCTTCATCGTGAAACTCTTCGAGGAACACATCAACCCCATAATGATCATTTAATTACTCACCCCAGGTGACGCTAAATTCATGAGGAAAACTTTGTTTTTCTAAAATGCCTCTGGTGAACAAAGAATCCAAAAACAGAGAGTTCTTGATGAACTGAAGTCATAGGAGACCACGTTTAACAACAGCAAAAGTACATCAAAAAATCTGTTTACTAACTCTCGCACAGCTCGTGCAGAACAATCCGAGTCTTATTTATCCAGTCATATGTTCTGTACTTTCCAAGCACATACATTTCTGCTAATATGTCAGTTTCTAAAACACATCGACACAAAGACGAGTAGCGCACTTGTGCTGTTCCAAGTGTTTCAAATAATAAGGATTTAGTGAAAATGCTTAGGTTTGGAAAGTACTGACCATTCAACTGGATCAACAAGTCTGTATGTAAATGTATGTTTTGATATAGTTTTGCTGCTGTTACACGCAGACCTCTTTTACTTCAGTTCATCAAGAATTTTCTCAGTTTTTGGATTCTTTGTTCACTGTCTAAGTATGCAAGAAATCTTCATGAATCCAATGTAACACTGGTGGAGTAACTAATATACAAATTAAGGACACATCAAGCAGATGATCGGCCTTTGGTCAATGATTTGTTATCGGTGAGCATCTGCCACCCAAGTTTTTGCTGTGTGCCACACTGTTGGCTCTAGTCGGCTGTTTTTCAGGCAATTCAGCATTTTGAATCGGCGTCAGAGATGGCAGAGCACCAGACGGTCTAGTCTGTGGATGAATTCCTGGTTGCATCACCAGTTGTTCTCACCCCAACCAGTTGGCGTTCCTGTTACCTAGCAACCAGCTGCACTTGACGAAAGAAGGAGTAAGCTAGTAAGTTAGTTAGCCCTAAATCATGGACCCAGAGATTGTTATTATATATATATATATATTTCTTTATTTAGTACTTGAGGGGATGATTCACTGCCAGAGACACCACCGTTTGATATATTTCAGGCTGACGGAGGACCAATATCAGGTAAACTAGCTAACAGAAATGTTAACAACAGTAAACCGTTAGTTAAAAACTGTTAGTTAACTTAATATATAATCGTCACCGGCGCGCAATGCATCTTGGGATAGGCTGGGCCACGAAGGACTCATCCAACGCGTCTTCCAAATTCCGGGAAAGAAGGCTGCATTTCTCAGCCTCATTTGATGAAGCCTTCGAAATGAGACAGCCTTGGTCACACAGCCTTGAGACACAGCTATTGAGTTCTTCAGCAGAAACATTTCATGGTGGTTTGTGTTACTGTTCACCGACGCACAGTAAATATGCTCTGTTCTTTCTACAGTGGATTGTGTTGTTAATGTGCTAACTGGCTAACTAGCATCAAGACGGTCTTCCGGTTTCTGTTTTTGAATGACGAATACAGACTACCACTGCCTGCTGGTATGGAAGCGTGATTCCTATTAAGCAGGCACAAAACGTATGTCAGCTGTAATCTTTACGGTGTGTAAATGTGCAATTTTTTGGCTGAGACATGGCAACATCAGGGGCCTTCACTGCTAGTTCTCTTAAGTTGTTTTGGTGTGTCTGGGACTAAAAGGAAAGGAAGACATTTGTCAGATATCAGACAACTCATTACACTCCGTTTCCATCTTCAGTCTGAAACTGTGTCCACTTTAAGCAATTTCCAGGTGGGATGAATAATGTATCCACCTGAAACTAACATCATTTTAAGTCCACACTGTGTATCCATGCCAAAATACTGGTTTTGCCAGAGTTTTAAGAGTGTAGTGGAGCGAAGTAAAACATGTCAGGTGATATTGTAAGACTTGTCTATTTAGAAGCGTTTAAGTGCAACTTTTTGTCCGAGACACAGGTGACGTGAGGCAATGCAACACTCAGCCTTAGTTGCCACTACTTCTTTGATGTTGGTTTGGTGTGTCTGAGCCATAATAGCACCCATTCACCACAATCATCTTCTGCATTTATATCTGCTGAATTTCACTGTGTGAGAGATCAGACTTGAATTTCTGTATGTGGTTTGGAAATAATTAGAATTTAAAGATAACTTTGATAAGAGTAAGAAAAAAGTAATGACTCCCCAAGTGAGACGCCACAACTGAATATTAAGTATGTAAAACACGGCTTTAATGATAACTGACTGAAGTTTAATAGAAAATCAGGGATGTGGGGTGCTGCGGTAGTTCAAAGTCACAATTGCATCTGCCGAGATTCTTATCAAACCCTTCTTGCCTCGACTAGATAAGAACTCCGGGATGATGGGAAACAAATGGAAAAGTCTCTAAGGTTGACTCATCTAGAGCAGACAACAGGAGGGGCAGCAAATTCGCTGTTCCGGATATCAGACAATGATGTCTGTTGCCAGGCGATAGGATGTGGAGAAAACTCTGCCTCTGGGCATGATGAAGGTCAATGTGGATCCAGGTCATTAAAGCAGGAGGAGTACGGTCTGTAGGTGTGTTTGATTGTATACTAGAGGAGCAAGACTGGTGTTGGTTACCAAGGCAACAAATAAAAATGCAGACATCTTAGAGAAGTATTTGAACTGTGTCTTTCTTGAGTCTTTGTCAGCTAGTGATGTACAAGGTCTTTGCTGAAGCTGGTCAAGCTTTAGTGCAGTATCAGCAGCACATAGATAAGGTATCATTATGCTCTCAATGTTCAATCATCATTTCCTTTTCTTTCTTTTAGGTTTAGTGTGCCTTGGTGTGGTGGCTGGTGCATTTTATACCTCTCATTTCAGCAGGACAGAGGGTTGTTTGTCAACCTAAACAAGGCTAAACATTGACATCATTACGTTAAACATTATTTCCCCATCACACTTTGTATTCAAGAGATGGAGTCTCAGGCTACAACCACACCAATACGTTTTTGGTTTAAAATGCTTACCTATTGCTACAGTTACGCCTTGTGTCCACTTCGAGACCTTAAAAAATGCAGTTGACTTCGTTTGAATATAAAAACTCCAGGTTTGCATTTTAGTCTGTACAGGCAGAGACGGAAACCTTTGGAAATGATGGCGCAGACACCCACATTCACTTCCCGATTCTTATCAATCATAGTCTCGCCACCAGACAATCAGAGATCTCCGCCTTCTGATAAACATGTTAATGTTAGTTAAGCAAAGCGTCTAAAGACTGACTTGTGAGTCTATATCAGTCATGACATATCAATTCAGAACATTAAAGGGGAGCTTAAACCATTTTCAAATTTCATACATGTTTATCCTAGAGTCTAAGTGAGTCTAAAAATAATGTTAAAAATGAGAAACTCTCACCCAAATCTAAAAACAAGAGTGCTTAAACTCAAATCTCTGATGTCATAGGGTATAACGTCTAGAGCTGCTTAGGGGTAGGAATCACCATTAGATCCACAATATAATATTACTGAGATTTTTAATATGTTGCAAAATGCTATATGTGTATATGTATGTTTATTACAATTTTTCAACTGTAAATTATGTCCCCAAAGGAAAACTTTGTCAACATCTGTTTTATCTAAGAAGGTGACGTTTTCAGTCTGTTCGTCTCTCTTTTTTTTTTTTTTGCAGCAAAATGTATCTAGAGGACCGAAAAAGCAATTGATTATATTATTCAAGTAGGCCTCCAAAACTTTAACTTGTATTTGTAATATTAATAATATATATAAAGAAAAAAAAATCCATACTTGGGACTGTGTGACGATACAATATTGCCACACAAAAATATCTCAGCACTATTCTGTATCAATTTTCCCCCACCCCTTGAGCAGCTCCATAGACAATGAAATGGGAAAGATGTTTTAGATGACACTGAGAGCACCCAGGGGAATGTTCTGAGTGTATGGGTCAGTTCTCTATTTCAGAACTGAGAACATTACAATAGAGTTAAGCTTATTTGGGCATAAAAAAAACACATTCTGTGGGTCTACAAAATTCATTGTCTACGGAGCTGCTCCATCCTTTATACTCTGTCACTCATTTTCCACCAATATTTGCGCATATACACAAGTTTTTCAACATGAATAAACCCGCTAAAAATAAGTGATTGACTCCTCTCCCATGGCCAGTAGACGTGATCTGTGTGCACGGCTCTGAAGCAGACTAGTATGTCTTTGTGTGTGTTTTTTTTTTTCGTGTGTCACATTCAATGTCACGGACAGACCAGAAAGCAGGTTAGTAAACAGCAGACAGCAGCATGGGGGCCTGTGAAAACTTCATGGTGGTTGCTTCTTTTAATATTATGAATATTTATTCAGTCTGTCTTTCAAATTTGGTACAGACTAATTTAGATCAATGTTTGAGCGCTGCCTGGGCAGAGACCGATGGTATTTTATGGTGCCGCATCATCGCCAAAATTAGCGCGTTCACCCGGTGTAATGTTTCCATTAATGCCAATCAGAGCCAAAGCTGAATACCGCTGATTACAGCACAGTCATTTGACCTGGGAGTGAATGTTGGTTGTAACTTTTCCTATTACGTTACAAAACCAGGTGTCAACAGCTGTTAGTGGTTTTTTGTGCAGTAGAAAAAGGGCTTAAGACATCACACGTTTGAGACTTACTTCTCTGCTTTGTGGCTTTGAGAAAGAGTTGCTCATGATCACAAATTAAACTTTCCATAGACATAACATATTAGAACTCTTAATTAGAGTAGGTTTCCCTTCTTGGGTGGGTTCTCCTTTCTCATTGCCATGGCTTCCTCTTGTGATAGATAATACTTCCGTCATCCCTTTAATATGTTGCTGAATTTGCTTTGCAATGACTCACAACCTGTTTTCTACCACCTAGACCACCTTATACTCATCATGGTATATTCAGTAACAGATCCACCTCGTCCTTGGTCTAGGCAAAGTAATCTCTGGTCTTCCTTTTTACTATCTACGTAGTATTTTCTGAAGCTACGCAACCAAATGCAAAGTAGATAGTCTGCTTCCTGTTTACACTGCCACACACCTAGTGTACATGAATGGCCGGGTGACCTGCATATTTCCTGCGTGTCTGTATAGACAGAAACTGGGATTCCTGAAATGGTCCTAAAACACATGTTCAGAGATTATTTTTGTTTTAAAATGCTGTTAAAATAAAAAATGAAAACATATTAGTGTAGATGTGGCCTCAGCAGCCAGAAACTTTTTAAGCACTACTGTATATGAGTCTGCATCTTCCTACTGAAGTTACATAGAGAAATATAAGTTGATGTGGTGCTCCAACAATCAGATACCCTCCAATACAGACACCTCACATCATTACAATGACACAGTCCAAAAGGAAAGACTTATAATGATGATTCCTACAATCTGAGCACATGTCCTCTTACTCATTTGCCAGCAGCCTACAGTGACGATTCAAGCCAAAACCAGAGGCTACCACCAGTGCCCAGACATGTGTCCCTGTCTTGTGTGCACTCCAGTATTATATTACCTGGTTGATTGCTGCTCTGTTGAGTGTGCCAACTCGTTTCAGCAGGGCACCTGGCCGCCTGGCTGCCAGTCCTGTGATAACCCCTTGACCCCTTCGCCGTACAGGTGGGGGAGGGACTCTTCTGTTTCTTAATTTAGATGCTCCTCCTCGGGGCACGCCACCTCCTGGTAAAGATAACATTAGCAACATACAGAGTTGTTTCATCAGAAAAACGCAAAAGGTTACCGACGTACGGAGATCCATTTGTCTAAATGTTTGTGTGAGCAGACAATCTGCGTGTAAATGCGTTATCTGTAAATATAAAACAACTTCCACAAATGTAAAAAAGGTTTGTAAACTCACCATAATATTTTGCAAATATACACAGATCTGCGCATAAAACAACAACAACAAACAAACATACCACACAGTGAGCATAAAACACAAATACACAAGCATAGAATTGAGATTCACAAATAAAAACTGGATTCACAAATATCCGTTGAAAGCTGTAAATGTTAAGAAGATAGTCACAAATGCTTTTAATTTATTTGTGCATTTATTAAGCCTATTCACAGATATTTACTTTATTTGTGGAAGTTTGCAAATCCATTTAATAATAGATCTATCTAATGTGAATTTCCCCAGTGAGGGATCAATAAAGTTTACCTTATCTTAATTGCAAAGTCATTTTTAGAGTTTACAATCTTTTTTAGTATTTGTGGAAGTTGCTTTATAGTTACTGATTACACATTAACACACGGATTGTCTATCTGTTCGTACAAATAATTAGACTTATCTGTCTGCATACAAATCAAGCAAATGACAACTGAGAAAGCACTGACACACACCTCTCTGGAAAGCTCCAGCAGTTCTTGATGTAAGTCCCTTTGCTTGGGTTAAACGGCCTTTCTTCTTGACTGGTCGGCGGGTCGCTGGGCCCTGTCTCCTTTTCAACTGTTGCTCTTTTTTGTTCAACCGGATGATGTCATCTGTTAAATTTATCACATGTGTAAGAGTAAACAGGGGCGCCTGAATGCTCAAATGAGATGTATTTAGCTAGCTAGCTAGCTACAGACAACCTCCCACCCGCTAGTAGCTAGCATTAGCTTACACTCTATTTTAGTAACGTTAGTGTTTACTATCGAGGACCTTACCTAATGACATGTCGACTTTGTCGAGAACCGCTGGTTTTCTCCCCCGAGCTGCTGTAAAATCACCTTCGTTCATACTTTAAAACAACAAATTGCCCCGAGTGCAAAGAAAAATGCAATAGTATTTAGCAACAGTCGTGCTAGCTGTTCGTCCCTTTTGAGGCTACGCTACCACAGGATCCTCCCCCGAGCGTAAACGGTCACACGCATGCGCTGTAGAGACACCCCATTGCATTGTGGGTAAAGTAGTTGAAGCCCACCAAAACAGTGTTACAAAACCTAAACACCAGCGTGCTCATATAACTGGTTGCATAAAAGGAAATACGACGCTCGCTTACGTGTTTTCTTAACTGGGCTCACAGAAAGCTAGCTGCTTCGTCTGCTGTTATTAAGCTAGCGTTAAAACACCTCTGCCAGATTTATTTTAAAGTTTTTTTCCTTGCATGTTACGCTGCATCTGTAGGAGGTAAGTTGGACCTCCCAAGCGCCAGGTTGTATGAAATGAATAGCTTCTGGTTGTTGGCTTCTGTCTATCATTTAACATGCGGCTGGTGTTTCAAACATAACCTTGTTTTTATAATACTTGTTTTCTGTAATGTGTTGCCACTGGACGCAGTGTTAATTTGAGTTTTTCACCATTATCACTGTTGTTTTCCTGCAGCTCATTCTTCTTCATTTCTCCAAGGCGATACTTGAGGCTCGTTGCCCACATTCATCAGAGACCCATCTCAGTATTCACCGAGTCAATCACCACTCAAACCATCATGTCCGACAAAAAACGCAAGTCAGCCTCTGCTGCAGCTGACGGGCCCAGTGCTAAGCAGCAGAAGGTGGCCCCCATGATGAAGGAGGTGAAGGAGAAGGCTGCAGGGGGCTGGCTAAAGGACCAAGTGAAGCAGCAGAGGACTGAGATGAAGGAGATGAAATTCAACAAAAAGCGCCTTCGTTTTATATCAGACAGTCAGAAGATCAAGCAGGGCTCAGAGGGGGTCCTGTACTGGATGTTAAGAGACCACAGAGTACAAGGTAAACACTTGAAACAACTACCAGTATATGGAACATGAGTTTTCTTTCCCATGTTTCCATTGGCTACATGTTTTGGGTGTTTCTCCCTTTGGCTTAGACAACTGGGCGCTGATCCATGCCCAGCGGCTGGCTCTGAAGGAGAACCTTCCTCTGCACGTCTGTTTCTGCCTGGATGTCCCAAAATCTGAACTGTCTACTCTGAGACATTACAGCTTCATGTTGAAAGGCCTGGAAGAAATCGCAAAGGTAATGCCTTTTATGATATTGTTTTCAAAAGCACAAGCCAAGAATCATGATATGAAAAAAAATCCCAGAGGAAAACCTTACTAAAAACACTTTATTCCAAAGCAGCCTTCAATGTAAGCCTGCTCTGTGCAGCTCCACGCCCATGGTTCAAATATCCTCCCTCCCATGAAACCTGATCATATGATCAAGTTTCAGTTGTTAAAACTCAATCTTCAAAAGTTAATAATCCAAAATCCAATGCAGTAGTGCACTTGTTTTGTCTATATTAGCATAACTGACAGAAAAATAATCCATCGTAAGGCATTTATTCTATTTGTATGTCAACCAGATCAAACAGTACCACCAAACACATGCAGGCTCTGCAAAGATCCGTGGCTTTTAAGTTGGGTAGAATCTGGTTACTTCCAGAATCCACATCTGGTCTTTTGAGATTTGTCATTTTTTCGTTTTATTTGTTAAATATAGAGCTGAAGTGATTAGTTAGTTACATGACAGCAAATTTATCACTAACATTTTTTTACATTTTGATTGCCAAGGTGAATCAACAAGTAAAAATTCAAATATTTTCTGGTTCACACTTCTCAAACGTGAGGATTCACTGCTTTACATTTAATTTCCTTAATTTTTTAACCTTTATTTAACCAGAAAATACTCTTGAGATTAAAAATCTCGTTTTCAAGAGTGTCCTGGCCAAGACAGGCAGAAATATAAGTTACAGACAGACAACATAGAACACTGAAAGACCAGTTAAGACACACTGGCATTGGCAACAGAGCTTTAAAACAGCCGAGAGGAACCATTGAGAGCAACTTTTAAGTCCTTCTGCAGAAGATTCCACATAAGGAGCTGCATACATGAATGCTCGCTTGCCAAACTCTGTACGTACGTGGTAGAGACAATATAAACATATTTTGTGAATGGAGAGCAGAGCCATTTTAAATTTTTTTGCTTAATGCACACACATACATATGCTGGAAGTAGGCCAAGAATAGCTTTGTAAACAAGAAAATGCCAATGAAAAAGTCTATGAAATTGTAAAGAGAGCCAGCCAACCTGAGTGTACAGGATACAGTGATGAGTTAGTGGCCTACAGTTGGTCATAAATCTCAGTGCACCATGGTACACAGAGTCCAAAGCATGCAAACACTGGGTGAGTGCATTCATATACAATACATCCCCTTAATCAAGCACACTCAAGAATGTGGCAGAGACCAGACTTAATCATATAAAACTGTAGGTTGGCTAAAACAACAATATGGAGACGTGCTTTGGTTAATCGAGACAGATACGTTGAGTTATTTCATAAGATTTAAACAACCAAATGATTATTGATCAATTGAAAAACATTTTATAGAATCACCAGTGATTAAAATGATCAGTATTTGCAGCCATAGCAAACAAGTACTAAAATAAACTAGAGACCATCTTGTGATGAGATCCGACGCAATACAGCAATCTGCAAATTAAACCCCTTTTCAACAGTCATGAGCTGGCTTGGTTTGGCTTGGGTCATCAGCCTAGCACCCCAGGGATTTGCATTTCCATTACAACAGGGCTACCTTCTTTCAATCAATCAATCAATTTTATTTATAAAGCCCAATATCACAAATCACAATTTGCCTCACAGGGCTTTACAGCATACGACATCCCTCTGTCCTTATGACCCTCGCAGCGGATAAGGAAAAACTCCCCCCAAAAAAACCCTTTAACAGGGAAAAAAAAGGGTAGAAACCTCAGGAAGAGCAACTGAGGAGGGATCCCTCTTCCAGGACGGACAGACGTGCAATAGATGTCGTACAGAACAGATCAGCATAATAAATTAACAGTAATCCATATGACACAATGAGACAGAGAGAGAGAGAGAGAGAGAGAGAGAGAGAGAGAGAGAGATGCAGGTAATGACAGTAGCTTACAACAACATTATTGAAAGTAATAATATTATAGTTATAGTTCTGGCTACTGTGGTACAATATGTTGAAAGTATGTATTAATATCTGGCAGTATACATGTGTGACAATAGTCATATGTGTATAATAACAGTAGAAGTATGACTAATGACTAATGATGGCAGCAGCAGCAGGAGGCATCTGGCAGGACCACGGCAGCAGCACAACCACACACGTCACGCTGTCCAGGCACCGCTGTGATATGAGTTAATCTGAGAGACAGTGGAGCACAAAGGCTCCGGAGAAGAAGCCGAGTTAGTGACATCCAGAATGGCCGAGTTAGCAAGATGCAGTAATAGAATACGAGAGAGAGAGAGAGAGAGAGAGAGAGAGAGAGAGAGAGAGAAGGAGAGAAGGTGCCCGGTGTATTATAGGGGGGTCCTCCGGCAGACTAGGCCTAAGTCAGCCTAACTAGGGGCTGGTACAGGGCAAGCCTGAGCCAGCCCTAACTATAAGCTTTATCAAAGAGGAAAGTCTTAAGTCTAGTCTTAAATGTGGAGACGGTGTCTGCCTCCCGGACCGTAACAGGAAGATGATTCCACAGGAGAGGAGCCTGATAGCTGAAGGCTCTGGCTCCTGATCTACTTTTGGAGACTTTAGGGACCACGAGTAACCCTGCGTTCTCAGAGCGCAGTGTTCTGGTGGGATAATATGGCACTATGAGCTCACTAAGATATGACGGAGCTTGACCATTTAGAGCTTTATAAGTTAACAGTAGGATTTTAAATTCAATTCTGGATTTTACAGGGAGCCAGTGCAGAGAAGCTAAAACAGGAGAAATATGATCTCGTTTCTTAGTTCCTGTTAGTACACGTGCTGCTGCATTCTGAATTAGCTGGAGAGTTTTTAAAGACTTACTAGAGCTACCTGATAATAGAGAGTTACAGTAATCCAGCCTAGAGGTAACAAAAGCGTGGACCAATTTTTCTGCATCTTTAAGGTGTGCCTTTAACTGATGATGGCTTGTTTTGAGTGATGTTTCAAAGCAGTGGGCTGATCAACGGCTTGCAGTAAGAGCCTGTTGTCTGCAGTTCTTCATCAACATCTCACTGTGGCTGTTTCTGCTTTTACTCTTCCTCCCTGCTGTTTGAGTAGACTTGCCTTTATTGATGAAAAGCTGCAAACTAAATTCCGCTGAGCCAGTTTTAACACATTTCATTTCCTATAAATTCTTCACAGTAAAAGTCTCTTATAATTTTGTTATGTAAAAACTTTTATGGTGAAGCAGCAAAATAAGGAAATGTTGAGTTTTCAAGCAGCAACTTTTAATACGGGGGATAGCGAAAATAAACAGTAAAACAAAGCAGATATCTAAAGTAAAAACAGGGCGCAGGAGAGAAACTAAACTCCAAACCACAGAGATTCAGTTAGAAGCTACAAAAGTACTGAGAGCTGAACATACAGATTGTTTTAAAATGCCTTTGTCTCTGCAGACAGGGGGGAGTAGAGTCTTGCAACACACACAGCTTGTTTGGGGGGAGAACAGGGAACACTGGGAGTTGAATGCAGTCAGCGAGGTGTCACAGCATGACGGCGGTCGGCCTGGTTTTTGGACCTACTCCCGAGAAGGTCCATCTCCAGCGTGACTTGGCATGGCACAGCGTGGCCAAGAGTGACAGTTAGTATGTTTACATGCACAGCTTAACCGAGCTATGCTCAAAATTCGATTTTGGCGTCTAATCGGACTTCTGTCCTTGTCCCAGTTTACATGCAACTGAGAAAATCGAATTACTGACGGGAACGTGTCCTCCTCCTCAACACTAGGTGGCGATATGCGTCGTTTCAGCAGGTTAATACAGCCCCCTTTCCGGCTGACCTATTACATCACTTAATAATCATGGTGATTTTGAGAGGCAGACAAGAACGCCGTATGCTGTTGGAGGGCTACAACAATAGCGCAGGTGGTGTGGAGCATGCGCACATGCATTGTCTAGTTTTACTCTGATTAAGGCGTATACATGCCGGAGAAAAGTGGCCCCTT